TACTGTGGTGGGACATTAAGAAACAAGTGGTTAATTCATAATGGATGGATAGCCTTAATTTTCCAACACACTACCACAATAATTTTGGTTTAGATTTTGTTACTTACTTAATGACACATGTGTAATGTCTCATGTGTTGTTCGTAAAAAGGACTAGGTGATTCTTTTATGTTATGATACTCAGTGAATGAGAGTGTACTTTCTTTTTTATATGACTGCAATGAAGCACTCAAACTGGGTGCGGACTGAGGACTGAGACGATGAGTTCCATCCACTGAGACAGGCTGGCAAAAAACAGGGCCTTTCACACTCTCAGAAACACATGAGATCCTTTGATGGGATTTCAGTGTTTCAAGATGAATTCTTACTTTCTGCATTACACCGTGTGTGCCCAATGATTTAGCCTGACAGGCTGTGCAAATCTAACTATGCCTGGACATGAATATTTAATCAAAGTGGGGTGTATGTTGAAAAGCAGGCATTCACAGGAAGAATGTTATGTAACATGTGAGTGTTCCTTTTGGCTTCTCTACAGAAGAAAATAAAAATGCCATCCCTGATTCAGTGTGTGCAGGACATGATATTCACTCTGATCAAGCAAAACTTGTTGCATTGTGTCCATTTTGTAGACTAGAGTGTGCTTCCTGTCTAGTTTCTGTTTTTCTGTATTATGGGGTGCTATTGCCAGAGTGTATAATCTCTTTGTTGCACATAGGCAACAGATTTTCTGGAGAGAGCTCCTGGAGACTCAGAGCTGCATTGTCAGGGAGGGGTTCCGAGTAGGATTCGGCCAGTCTGAAAGAGACAGAAAGAGCAAGAGAAAAAAGGCAGATCATTGAAAGAGAGGTCAGACACATTTAATGTTCACTCAGAGAAACAGATCAAAAATATATGCAAAAGTTAAAAAGCTGCAAAAATAATGCTAAAGAGGTTGCTGATTTAAATGAGAGTGAACAACACGCAGAGTGTGAGGGGTACTCAGTGGCACACAAATGGAGAACATAAACGTTTCAATGAAATACAAGTTGCCATTAGATACAAAAACTTTCAATACTAAGTGAGTACATGACTTTACTTTTCACAAAACTTTATTCCCCCTTATCGAGCAGTCTTAAGACTGAATTAAGGTTTGAATTTCCTGTGATTCAGAGATTGAAATCATTGTCTATCACTGAGACAATGCCAGAGTTGTATTCATACACAGAAAGACAGAGGAAAAGCGTGCTGAAAGTTTCCGTTACCAGCATCGGCTTTCTAAAGAGACGTTTACGCTTAAAGACTGCTTCCACTGCGGGAACATCATTTTGATCTGGATCTTCGTGATTAAAGTATTCACCCTCATATATCACCGGAGAAATGGTTGTTATTCTCATTAGCTGCTGGATAAGTGAATTACCCCAGGAGGATGAATAAAGTACCCATCTGTCTATCTACGCACCAATCTGTATCTATCACTATAGGTCTCTGCTTGCTATAATACAATAACTTTTAATCTTAAAGTAGTTTAAAACTTTTAAAACTGATGGCTTTTGGAGACGATGCATGTACGTAGAATCTCTTCAGGAGGTGAGCCAAAAGGCTATTTATTGCAAAGCATTCCTAACCTTAACCCTAAAAAAAGGGAAAAAAAGAAAGATCCTCTGACAGCACAAAAATAGACATCTATTACACATCACTGCTGCGTTTTCTAAATGTATTGCCTTAGGCAACATGCGACACAGAGCACATATTGAGATAAAATAACAGACTGGTCGTGACTCACCAGCGTCTGCCTCCTCTACTTCCATGTTGCTGCATGTCAGGCAAGAGACAGAATGATGAAAAAATAAGCCATCGTTAAAGGTAACTGAAAACTAAAGTGGCTGGATGACGTACTCGTAAAGTGTTTAACCAAGTGCGCAACCACTGTCAGTTTAGTGAACAGCATGCAAAACTCAACTTTAAATTACTTTAAAAAATTACTGATGACATTTCAAAAAGGATTACTGAAGAAGTTAAGTGCTGAGCCAGCAAGGCATAAGGTCAATATTCTTTTAAATTAAATATCATATTATATAAAATACAATCATTTTAAATATGACCTAAATCATTTAATTAAATCCCTTGTGAAGTGATGTTGAAGTCAGTAGCTGTGAAGACTACTAATGGTGGCTTATGGCTGCAGGGAGGCTCCACTTCAATAACATCTATAATACTCTAAAAGGAAATGTTTTACTCAGGTCTGACCTGTGTGCAAACTATTAATTCATTTGGTACTACTGAGATTGGTTTAGGGCCATGAGTTGCAGCTCTGGTTGCAAAACTATAAAATGACATTTGACCCTGCAGGGGCTGTTAACACTCAGATTAAAGTGGTTTACAGTAAATCTACAAGAAATTGACCCACAAATACTCTTTAAAAATTAGACTGTGATGGAAAAAGCTCAAGTGATGGTGTGTTTCTGCTCTTCAGAAGATAGTAGTCACAGCTCTCTGTTTTCCTTAACACATCTCAGTGAGAGCTCCTTCAATTAAGTCTGGATTATTTTATCTTCTCTGGGTCTTGTGCTTTTTATGTACTTTATGGTCCCTTGTTCCTAAATAGTCGTATTAAATGCATATTTTGCTATCAATATGCAACTCATTTTACTTTTTGTTTTTATCAGTAGGTATTAAGCAGCTGTAACAGCCATGTCAATTGAATATGATGCAATGATTTCACCCTTTCAAGACTGATGTAATCCCACCCTGCAGCGCAGCAGCTGCAGAGCTCGGCATCCTTGCCAGTCCCTTCAGCAGCCATTAGCTTTAACACCCTGACCTGGTGCTTCCTTCTGAGCATCACATTTTTCCCCTCCTTCTTTCGACATCTGTCCAAACTGTAGGCCAAGCATTCCTCACTCTTGCTGAGAACTGTGTCAGTGATGGCTTTGTTTTCCTGACCTACATCCACATCCAGAAAGCTTCCATAACATATATGAGTTGATGCCTCCCATTTACCGACTTGCTTTACCCAACTCTTTTCAAATCCATCACAGGAAGCAGACCTATTAGCCTCAGGCAGTGGAGCTTAATGTGTTGCCATCGCTTTAAGGTGAGGGGCTCCATCCCTCTATTGCTCCCCTCTCTTTAAAGAGAGCTATTAAAAGACTGCAGGACACATACACAATAAGCTGGTTATAAGTAAAAATTAGAGCAAAGCAGGCTCTTAGAAGCTCTCTGGGTTGTTTGGCCTACATTCCCAGCAGTTCAGGACTGAGGGGCAGTTATTTAGTGTTGTGAGTTTTTCTACATTTAGGCTGGGTATTTAAAAAAGACAAATTCCATGATGTTTTACCTATCTAAGTTTGTATGTTTAAATATCCCATATTTAGTCACCAAATTCTGGATATGTGTTTACGTATAAATATATGAGGGAATAGCTAAATAAACTGTTACATCTGTCACATGCATTATAAACTAATCTTTGTGGGGCTTTATCACACCTGAAAAGTCTTATATTCCACCTGTGAGGTGTGAATTTGGTCTTTCTGCAGGCATCTCACACCCACGGTATGTTTATTTCACAGACTGTCCCAATTCTTTAGAGATTACAAAGTGATGCACTTTAATCACCAAATTATATTTGAAGTGCTGATGAATTGTATATCACCACTCTGTTGCAGTGCTCCAAACAGCTCCTACAGTGAGGTTGCTTTTCAGGCGCAAAGTTACAGGAGCAAAAGTGTTTTCTGTTGTGTTCAACAGTAAACACAGTGCTGACTTCACAAAAGGTTCAGGAAATTCTCTTTTAATCTGGCCTCTTAAGTAACTGTAGCTGTTCAAAGCTTACAGCAGCTTGTTTGGGTGTTTTGCTCTGCAGAAGATTCTGTATAGTGATGATCCCTGAGCAAGTAAAAAAAAAAAAACCTTTCAACTACAGACACAGTGATAACCTAAAATCAGTATTTGCTGGTCTAACATGTGTCTACTATTATTCAGGACCAACACTTTTCTTGGTCAGTTTTTTTCACATTTGTGTATTCATCTTTCTCGTTGCATGACTTTCAGTACAAATAAGCTAAAAATATTTTAAAAAATCCACACAATTTGTCTCTTGTAAGTACTGTGAAAGACAGCTCACAGCTAAGTCTGTGTAAACTGGACCTTTAAAACATCCCCTCTTCGGATTTTGTTTTCCAGAGTGGCATTAAAATGACTTATATGGTTTTTATTCAAAATAAGATTTTAATTGTAAATGAAAAACCTTTGCACAGTCATAAGCAAATTTACCTTGAAAAGGCATCTTCAAGTCCATCTTCTACATCCTATTGAGACACAAACACATGAATCAATACAACTCTGAAGTGCTGAAAACCACTGTCATGATGCTCCACTGAGTCAGCTCTTTGTTGTACCTCATTGTGTTCAAATGACACATAAATTCATTTTTGAACAGATACTACAAAAAAAGAAAGAAAAAAGCACCCAGAAATCAAATTTTCTTCTATCAAATTCCATTTCTGTACAACAATCAATATTCTTTCTTACAGATTTAACCACTCCAAAAGCCGCTATTGGACCAAATATGACATTCAAACCCAGCACACAGAGGAGGTGTGTAGAAGAGGCCTGATAACTCTCATTGAGAGGAAGCTCCTAATGAGTATGGTGTCACCTAGTGTTGAACATCTGTAAGTGAACGACATGATGACTGATGAGCCTGTGCCCCTGAAACGTGTACAACAAATTAACAAGCGTATTGTGACACTGCAAATACAATTAATTAGTGTCATAAATCACAGTCATCTGTTAACTTAGATGAATTAAGATGGTCAATGTCTCATGTTACACTGAGGTGCCCTGAGTTTGGCATGTGTCTAACCAACACCGATGCAGATTAAAGGGTATAATTGCATCTGCCAGTAGAATTCATTCACACTGACAGGAGTTTTTCAGGGCTCGCATTTGTCCCAAGCCCGTGATGTACACAGGTAAGGAAAATGGAACGCCAGTCTTAGCTGAGTCAGACCAATAAACAGTTTAAAGCTCAGTGTAGAAACCCACCCAAGAGTCATGTTTGATTGGTCGCCTTCGAGTGGGGTTACTCCGAGGTGACGGCGAGCTGAGAGAGGCAGAGAAGAAGGGCCTCCGGAGCTTGTCCTCCATCCCGACCGGCTTATGTGCTGCAGGGTGTGTGGGGGATGGCAGGTGCGGAAAAGAAGCTGACAGGGAATAAAGCAAAAAAAGCAGAGACAATGACACGCGGTGGACAAATGGAGAAAGATGAAAGGTGAAGGAACAGGTATGGATGGCATCCACACACGCACACAGAACAGAAACACACATGCACATCTGAGTAACACCATACAGAAAGATGCAGCTCTACGGAGGAAAGCACCTCCGGAATTTCACCAGGATTCACATGGACAGATCAATAATACCTACCTGCCACTGATGAGGATGAAAATCAAACGTTACATTTTGCTAAAAAAAAAAATCAAGCCTTAATTTATGGCTTTTCTGACCCTCCATTATGACCTAAAAAGCCTGACCTATAAATGTCTTGGCCATTAGAAAGTACTTAAAATCTACTGTTATTCCCCAAGACTAAGGAGTGGAGCATAATTAGGTGTGTGTGTGTGTGTGTGTGTGTGTGTGCAAGACTGCAGCGTCCAGCTACATATTCATAAGTCTCATTGTAGTGGTCTCATGAATGGAAGGGTTATTAAAATTAATAAAGCTGCAAGCAGGGATGACAGTGCCATGCAGTTCCCCATGGCACAGTTTCCATAGCAACTTGATGTATTCTGCTCACTGAAGTATCACCCAACAGCAAAATTTATTTGAAAATATAAAAATGGGTGTTAAGTCCATACACATGGTTTTGGATATGTTTTGGATATAGTTGAGGTCAAATAAGAAGGACTCTGCAGAAGAAGTCGTATTGAAGTGCATGTATTAAAAAAAGGGGAATCTGACAGTAAAAATGGAAGGAAGAAGAGACACAATTTGTCCCCACACAGTTTCACTGACTGACTATATGCATATAAAGATATGATTATGCAAGTAAGAAAATTAATATGCTGTCGTTAGGTTGTCGTAACTTTAAATCTGAATCTAATTACTGTCTCATTTCAGTAATTGTTACATATTATGGTTATCACTTTTACAATTCTAATACGATTACTGTAATCCTGTTACTGGCAGGCAGATTTCTTTATCTACAACTACTCAGTATACTGAAATAATCTGTCACCTCTGTCAGAAAGCTCAAAACCGGTTCTAAATCCCTTTAATCTCACACAGTTAAACAAGGCAGCACTTTTTTATCTCAACAGTAAAAACTGAATCAAGCCAGCGGCCAGTCTGCTTGGGTTAACTTAACATAAATAGTGGAGTTTAATTAGATTAATTAATTAAAAAAACGTACTAACCCTAGCATACTACAGAATGGCAAAAGGTGACAGTAAGATAAGAGCTGACCTCAGCTAAGTCGAAAACACTGTGATTTTCTGATAGGCATTCGTGATTAATTTGCTGAGCTCAGCTCTACTCAAGGTTGCGCCTTTCAGTGATAAAATCGTGTGTTAGGATGTTGCTGCAGAATCTAGCTCGATGCCTGGGGACACTATTGATAAGGACCAAATGAAATTATCTAACCTGCTGGAACACACTGTGCCTCTGTCGTCTCTGCTTGCCCGCTAGCTGCACATGAGCAGCAAGTCCCAGCCTTCTTGGTTTTGTCTGGAAACAAAGAAAACATACCAAAAACAAATTCAATCAATATTTTTTTTCCAAAAGAGTTTTTTCCCTGCAGACATTGCACGATTTAGTCAGTTTTCCTCCCACTTGTTTGTTAAGCAGACTGACCTTCCTGAGCAATCTCCCAGAGATCCAGGGCCACCTTAAAGGCCTGCGCTACTGTTAAGGTCACAGCCTGAGCCTGTAGGGGGAAAGATACAAATATCATAGCAATGAAATGGACCTAAAATAAATGAATAAAATAACATTGTACTTGCATTATCCCATTTTGTTCTTTTTTTATAGCATGTACAGCTTTAAGGTGCCCTAAGAGAACAAGCCACAAGATGGAGCCACACACCATTCATCCATTTCTGATGCTGGTTTCTGGAGTTGTGCTAAATAGATAAAATAGATTACATACTAAGTAGAGTATGTATGAAATAGATGTATGATATACAATAATGTGGCAATGAATTACACCCTCTTTCAATCCTAAAGTTTAATCCATCAGGAATTTGTTTTTTGAAAAGTACCAACAACATATCACATACAGAATTTCACCTTAAAAGTTTGTATTGTTAATAAAACAAAACAAATTAGAAGTTTAATATGAGCCAGGTTGTGCATAGGAAAGATGCTCAAACGTCACTATTCTGAAGTGTATTCAAAACAGACTGGCAGGAGGATCACTATCTTAAGAGAGAAGCAATTATTGCTGCACATCAATTTGGAAGAGGTTATGCAGCAATTTCCAAACAGTTTGGAATCCCTTATTCTTAAGAGAGAGATACTATTCAGAAGTAGAAAACATTCAACACAGTTGTCAATCACCACAGGAGCAGAGCCCCTTGCCAGTTCACCCTAAGAACAGACTGTGCAATGCTATCAGAGGATGTGTTATCCTAGGATTGGCATAGAGTTTTCTTTATTTTTCACATGAAAACGAATGGGTGCATGGGTGCAGACTTACAATTTTCCTTTTTTGGCAAAGAAACGCATGGCACTCCAATGTCTCATTGAACTGACTCTGAGAAACGTATGCAAAGACCTTATCCTGAGTTTTATCTGCAGTGCAGTATGATATTCTGAAAGACAGAGAGAATGAAACAGGGTAAGACACATGTTAACCATATTTATCTAAATCTGTTTTGGATATCTATGATAAAAATGTCATATGTCAAATGTCATTCTGTAGCTCACATACAGAACAAAGGCCAACATTTACACATCAGTCACTTGCTTACTCTGTACATGATGGTAAGGCACACTTTTCCATTGTGCTGAACCCTTTGCATATGCATAAGGACACTAATCACAGCATGAGAGCACAGTGGTCATGAATAATATGTTGACCGAGTCCTTCAGCTAAGAATAGGCAAAATAGAAACCTCCCAGCATCTCAGACACCTATATGAGATGCTTCATACAATATTTTGGGGAAAACATGTGTGTTATATGAAACCTTTCTGTCAACCAACACTGGTTTAAAGATAAAGCATACACATGGTTACAATTACAACCTTTACAATACTTAGTTGGAGATATGGCTGAGTGAGAAACATGCAGCCTTCATTAGCATGAGACTATTTTTACACCTTTGAGAACTTTAGAAGATTTATCACATACATCTATTTTAAAAAAGCACATTACTAACAAAATAATACTTAAACAATTTTGTCAACAACAGAAAAATCCTTCCTTTGTAAGACATTTGGTTGAAACAGCTGAATTTCCACTGCAGGAGGGAGATGGGTCAGCACTGTGGACAGCACTGTGACTGTTGTGCACTTGAAACCTCATTCCCTGTGGTCACGCTGAATTTCTCATGGAATTAAAATATGCTTTTCAAAAAACCCATTTGTCTGAAACTCCAGACACAGCCATATTTTTCCTCCGGTTTGGTAAAACGGATCATTTCAAAGTTGATCAGGTTTTCTCTCCCGTAGCTGCTTTTCTGTGTTTAGACACAGAACAGTGGCTTTGTTAGGTGAGGTTTGTGTCAGCTTTTGGAAGTCCCTGTTTGTGTTTCTGTGAAATTTTGGCCTGAACCAGTCATGTGCTTCATGCTTGTTACTTTAAATAGATATGTAAATGAGCCACAGTGAGTGATACACTTGACCTTTATCATGTAATACTAAGCAACACAAGGGCAGGTGGGCTATTTTCCTCTCAGTTTGCAGGTGAAGAAGTAAAATGAACTAGCTACAGTCTGTTCTCCTCCAAACAGGATACATCAGCATGTCATTATTGCTGAAGGATGATGATGGTGATCTGCCACCATTACATTAACTTGTAAACTGTGTGCAAAAGGCATTTGTGGATGGATGATGCTTGCCCACTTCAAAGGAGGATGGGGAGGGTTTTAAAATGAAGTAATTCATAAGATCAACTAACAAGCATGAAATCACCAGCACTCACATCTCTATCTAAGATTGTTTGCAGCATTGCTAAACCAATGCATGACCCACATAGCAATCCCCATGACACCAGGTTCCCCCTGCGATCTAACTTATATTTGGGCTGTAATTGCATAAAATAAGCAGAAATAAAGCGCCAATCTTTGACCTATTTGGGATTGAAAAACAAGAGTCATATTTGCAAAGTAGAATAACTGCCAAATCGAATTAATTATGAAGTATATAAATTAGAAAGTCTAATTTCTAGGCTGTAGTTACATTTAGTGTGCATTTCCAAATGAACCCCCCCTTACTGATATTAAAACTCTAGCAGTTGGCAAAAGCCTATTCTGTGAATCATCTTCTTTAAAGTTCCCTTCTGTGATGTCAATGTAGCAATGAAACGTGATTCTGAGAAAATACTCATAGCAAATTTGGTCAGATGTTCCTCTTTCTAAGGTAATAAAAACAACTTTAATCTGGAATCCACACAAGTGAAGAGTGCATTTAACTATTACATTTTGAACTTTAAAACATCATGTTTAAAGAAATAACCTTTTTAAATGATCATGAAAAATAAAACTACTTGATTCTTGGCATCATCTTAGAAGGAGAGATATTTAAACTACAAGCTTTTTCTAGCATGAGTAGCAACATTTTACGTGTTAGACTATTACTTACACTAACTTTCCATTATTCATTCTTCTTTTGATTTCCAAATAATAGCTTTCTACATAAGTTCTAAGGCTCCTGATTTTTTGGTCTGCCAACAAAGGTTTAAGGGCTCATATGTTTTTATTTCTCTACACTGCCGCTGGAACTTGTCACTTTCGGTATCAGACACTAATTTAAAAACCCTAAATCCTTAAGACTTCCATCCTAAAAAGAACAGTCTGTTCTGATAGGCAAGTGATTGATCCAAAGTAGCAGATTGCAAAGCACCTGTTTATTTTTAGTGTGAACCTTGTGAAACTAGACAAGACGGAGGCATAATGTGCCTGTATTACATGGTAATGTCATTGAAGAAAGACAAATTAAACCATGAAACAAATATTTCAGGAGTGGTTCTTTTTATTTAGTAACTATTGTTTTTGGTGTGCAATTTATGTTTGCCAACCCACCAAAAAAACATGTAAAGATGGGGTACACCCTAAAAGCATTATGACATTTTTAATGTAGATTAGAAATATAGCCTGAGGCTATGTTATAGCTTTTTTGACTCCTTAAAACAAGAAAATATGTTCAGTTTCAACAATATGCTGTTTTCAATGAACAATGTGCTGTAAGCAAAATGAGCAAACAGGTCAGTGCACATGCAGCGCATGTCAGACAGCCCAGTATACCCCCAAATGCTGCGTGTGCATTCAAAAGAATCTGTGACATCAATATTAAACTGTGCATGAAATAATATAATCACACTAAGCACTATGGCAGATGGTTTCATTCACTAATGGACAAATTGAAAAAGTGGTCATTACATGTATCATAGTAAAAACAACGTGAATCTGCCAACAAAAACACTTGATTATGATGAAAACTCATTAAATACTTTGTACGTAGAGAAAAAAACACCCATGCAATAACTGTGTTAAAAATAAAAATAAACGCCATAATAACTACTACAGATGTGACACCACAATGGATCTTATCACAGCAGAAGCCCTCAACCTAAAATAACAACAGTAAAAAATAATTGACGTTATCACACTGAGTTTGAACAACAGAAGCTGAGCTGTCAGTCTGCATCATATCTCCAAAGAGGCTCTCTGGACTGTAAGCCTTTGATCTTCTCACTGTGCAGAGCATCGATGCTCGTGAGACAGAGAGGGAATATCATTGGAAATATTTAAATATTTACTGAACAAAGCCTTGACAGAACTTCAAAAATCCATTGCTCGAACTTTTAGAATCAAGGGAATAAAATAGGTCTGTTGTTCAACAGTGAGATCAGCTGAAATGAATACATAAAACAGGCTCAATTTTGACGCAGGGGGACAGTTCATGCAATCATTTGGTAAATAGTCAAAAAATAAATGAAATAAAACATAAATATTCATGGACATCAGCACATCCTCATCCACACTTCCAACAGCATGTCAGAGCAGTGTGCAGCATCTCCAGGTGGGGAGTCTGTCAGCACCCCATTCTGACCTTCATGTTTTACTGATTGATATGCTGTTTGGTCACTCAGAGATCTTGTGAGAATGTGAATCAGTAACACAGCTCCAGATGGAGCCTGAACACCCTCACAATGTTCCTCTCACTGGGAGAATCTGTCTGTGGGTTTTAAACAAAGGTTTTCTTTTCAAAGAACCCACAAGAATGTACTGATTCTCATCTCTCACAGTTTTCTGTTGATAATAAAAGTTTCACAAAGCAGTAAATACTCAAATCCAAATGGTCCAGAGAGTGACTGGATCATTGAATTCCCATGTCTTCACTTACAACTCCAGATCAAATATGTGTGTGTAACACCCTGTTCAAATTATAATTTTTTTTGTTCAAATTACAAAAAACCTCTTTCATATTGATAGCACAACTGACAGTTCAGAATAGAGCAGCACTACATGGTAAATATGCTCCTGTTTAAAGATCAACCTCATAATAAAATGTGAGCATTATATGCAGCAAATAGATTAGCATGGATGGGGATAAAACACCACACTCACACTTAAGTGAGTTTTACCCTGCAGGCAGGCCATGAGAGCGGGGTTCTTATTTCCAATGCTATGAACAATGCCTTGATGTCTGTTTTTAACCATGTTACTAAGCTTCCCCTGAGGGAAACAACCCCACCTCCATTAGAAAAGAATAAACAATTACCTAAACAAACACAAATTTACATATATGCTAAAATATTGAGGTGCATGCACATAGATCCATCAGTTTGTGAACATATCTGCAAACAAAGACGCACACACACAGCTTGTGTATTAAACCATTTTTCTGCTTTAGCTGTCAGGGACAATAACAACAGTGCAGATTTGATCCCCTCTCTTATCTCTGTGCTCTACGCCTTTTTTTACCCTTCACTTGCTGTCTTAACCCAAAATGGATTATATACAAAAAAAGAAAAAAAGGACACGAAGCGGGCAGTCGAGGGGCCTCGGCGAGGTGGGGGTGGGGGTTACATAAATGGGGATGAATCCATTCTAGTTCGACCCAAACACTGTGTGGCCTTTTCTTATGTGTCATTACTGTGAAGAGTCAGCAAAGGCTGCAAGTGTCAGTTTCAAAGAAAGCAATTAGTTGTCAGTTTTCCTGCTTTCAGGGGTATGATAATACAAGCAGAGAAAAAAAGAAGGGTTCTTTCTTAACAGTACAAAGGGAGGAAAGGAATGGAGTATAGAAAGGAGATCAACGACAGTGTTGGTACCCCAGGCCTGTGGTCTGTCACCACTGATAAGGTAGATCAGAAGAAGAGGCAGACACGTGAACTAAACAAATTTTCTGTCCTTATCAGACCCTGCTCTGTTACACATACGACAGAGCACTACCCAGTCCACACACACTCTCGGCTGATTCATTAGATGGTGCTGAAAAAGGTTAGTTTTCATTTACAAAGAGTGTTGACACAGCAGAAGCCCCGCAGTGCTCCAATACCTGCCTCCAATTACTGGTTTCTGAGCAGATTGATCAAACATGTGACTCACAAAAGATCTGAGGAGAAAATGTGTGGTTTAGTGCTAAGCTGTGGAGTGCAAAACATTGAAAGACTGATAGAGGCATTAAAGCCAGAGGGTTTAAACATCAAGTCAGAATATCTTTTACATGAATATATATATTTCATATACTGTGATAATATACTGTAATACTGAGGAGAGTCTCAATCATGCTTGGGTACATTGGATATGTTGTTAAGTGGTTTGTTTGCTTGTTAGCATAATTACTCAAAGATTTAGGATCTATTTGCATCAATATTTTGCAGGTGGTGGGGAATGGTCATGATTAACTTTGGGCACTTATCATTCTTGATGTTGGGTTTTGACACAGTGGAAGTGTGCAGCTTTAGACGGCTCATTCAGTAGACTCACAGCCTTTTAGAGGAATCGCATCATTGAATAAATAATTATAAGCTTTGCCTAATACATTTTTCCCTCTGGTGTTTAAGCTCATTTTTCCATATAATTTATCTTAATTGCATTTTATGTTTCTGCACTCACTAAGGCTATTTTTGTAAAGGTAATTAAACCAAATTATTTTAAAACAAATGACAATGTGTTTTCATAAAGTAATTATGTGTATCCATAAATGATGTGGTTTAAGAGGAGGTAATTATGTGTAGTAAAAAAAACTAAACTGTGATCTTTGGTAATGTCTGTTCTGAAGAGTGAGGTATTGGTGAAGCAACATGTACAACTATTTAAATCACGTGATCCCAGGTTGAGCTGAGATTCCTCTTCAAAAGATTGTCAAATAATCTTCTGGGTAAGATTCTACCTCAGAAGGTAAATCAGAGGTAAGGATTAGCTACAATTTTAACAGATAGTGGAAAATTACTCCACTCTTACAGCAGTTATTAAGTTGTTGTTATCAGACTTAGACCAGAGCTATCAAATGAAATATACCTGTATATGGAGACATTCTCTATGAGGTCTGTAGTCTCTGTGTCTGTGATGATGATGCCTTTTGGTGACACCGTCAGTGTTACTTTCCGAAACTTCTTAGCGCTGGCTCTGGCCTGTCAATAAAAGAGCAAAGAAATGAGCAATAAATAACCACCATCAATCACATCAAAATTTGATGCAAAAATCCAGCATCAGATGAATGATATCCCACTGAATCATCCTGGCTTCAGTATCAAATTATTTTAAATCTGATCACAATTTTTTAAGCCAACTCTCACGAAGTGCTGCTGAGCAAACTCAAGTAGCCTGGTTTGTCCCAGAAACATACTATGGAATTTATGAAAAAAAAAAAAAAGCAACTGAATGGGGGGAGGAATGCTGCAATGTGTAGCCCAGAATGAGCACTTGAGGTCGGCCTGGCAGCCACTGACTCCGCCTGCTGCTTTGTACCATCTGGACTTGGAGCACATACAGCCATAGTGCTGAGTCTGTGGGCTGAGAGGGCCTGTCGACAATGACAGTGACCTCTTTACAGCACAATTAAATTGCAAATGAGTGCAGTTTAGCATCACACTCAACAGATGACATGTTGAAAATGTGACTGTGAAGCAACACGGAGAAAAAGAAAAGAAAAGAAATAAAAAGGAAATTATTTACCAATGCAAATTATGAGCATAAATATTTTTGCAAGAGGGGACACAAAGCCAATGATGCAGAGATTTAAGCAAAAACTAGGGCTTCTCAAGGACACGAACAGTGTCATGGCTTGCTGTGGGGACCAAAATTCTCTTGAGATGGCAGCAATGAACAGCAGATTCCGCTTAAACCTAAATCAGTTTCAATATAAAATTGATATATCTTTAAAGGGCAAATACTGTTCTGTTGCTGACTGAGATACTGTAGCTCATTAACAGAGCAGCTACGTTATGAGTGTCATGCCACCAGGCAAAAACCAATCTGTCAGCTTGCGATATGCCAAGTACAGTTCTCTGTGTTTGTTCCCTCACTATCATTTTATCATATAAGGCTAAGAATGTAGATAGGTTTTATTTTCAAACTGACTGGTTTCCAAGGGACAACAGAAGCCGCTAAGTTTCCTTTTTTTCTTGTCTTGGTGTTTTTCAATTGAATTTTAATCCTGCCATTAGGCTCAGTTCAGGCACTAATTGAGAAGCAGGGGTTTTATGATTGGCCTCCCTGAGCCAAGCTGTTCTTTTGGCAGAGAAATTCCTTAAATAATACAGCCAACCATTGTTGGTGAATGTAAATTGGTGTGAGGGTGGTAGACAGAAATGGTAAAGTAATAAAGGTAGGAAAATGAATAATACATCTACTACACATTCATGGGGAAAATAGTCAAATGGTAAAAACTGAACAAACAGGGATTAGTTTTATGGGGTATCCCACGGCCAAGAGAGAGACTTTAAACGGCACATTTCTCTGCAAAGCTTGGCTTATATAGCAGTGTTGCAGTTCCTGTTTTCTAGAGTGATTCTCGGCTCCCTGCAGACTCTGACTGCCTTCCTATTTAGTGTACAGTGACAGGTTAGTAGACGGTTGGGCCTCAGATCACAGCCCTTGTATGCAAAAGAGAGTTGGATTGTGCCAGGGGACTGATATTTGACACAGCAACCATAATAATCAGGTCATTTTCATCATATATTTATTCTCATCATGAATAGAAATGAGATAATCATGACAGTGTCAGCTGTTCTAGTCACATTTTCCGATTGACTCCACCAAAAATGACCATTGGGACCATGAAAATATTTACAGCAGTAAGAAATTTAGGTAATGACCACTTCAACCTTTGATTTAAAAAATTCTCCCACAAGGGAACAAAGCATCAGTGGAAATTGTTTCTGTCCATTTTTCCTACTGACAAAGTTAAAAGCTGATCCCTGATTTAAAAGTCATGCAAAAATGTACATTTTAGTGTTCTTATATTTGAGGATGAATTGGGGGTCAATCCATCATTCCCTCCCTCCTTCCACTCCTTTTTCTGAGTGGCACTTCCCAGCCTGTCCTTGGGAATCCCAATTAGTTCCCAGGACTGAGGCAACATTTATTTCTTCTACTAACCTGTGGGTCTGCTTACTATTTACTTCTTTCGGTTGGACATGCCCAAAACACCTCAAACGAAAGGCAGCTAAAGGGCATCAGAAGCCTGAACCAGTGGAGGTGACTCAGAAAGTACAAATGACATAATAAAAAGCAGCACAAGGTTGGAAAGAGAAGCAGAAACTCACCGTAGCAACAATTCTGCGAATGGCTGCTGAAGCCATGTCCTCTCCTTTAGGTTGGCCCACCAGAGTCATACCAAGGTACTTTACATTGAACATCATCCCCTCCAGCAGGGTCTCTTTTGTGTCTGTCCAGTTTTCTGGCAGCTCTAAGAAGGTAAAAAATGACAGATAAAAAAAAATTTTCTGGTACAGGTAAACAAGCATAGAGCAACCAATCCTTCACCACCTTTTCATGCAGTTATAAATAGAAATATGTAAATTGGTGATTCGTATTATCCACTTCAGGAAAAATGACCAAAGGGAAAAAAAGCTCATGAAATGATACAATGGGTGTTGCAAATTCTGAGGTGGAAAGGCTGCAGTGTTACACAAATGTGCTATAACTAAAGGGGAAAACGTCAGTCCTGCATTGTCTACATTGGAACCCCTGTCACCCTAGTAGAATAAAATCTGTAGCGAGACCTGCCACCCTTTACCCGTTAGGATGTTAGAACCTCCCCACATACACAGGGTCAGTAAACCTGTGCAGAATATCTGCAATGTCCCGCGGTTGATGTGATTTCAAACAAGTAGTTCCAAGCTGTCTGAGTGCTGACTACTGTGGGCAGAGAGAGGTGCAACACTCATGCCGAGAGCTGAAAATATCTCTCAGCAACACCTGGACATCCTACAGATGAGCAGCAGGATAAAAGAAAGATATAAAGCTACGCAATAGAACCCATTCTGTGGTAAGCTGACATAACATTTTAATCTAGCATCCCAAAGCATTATTGTAACATAGAAGTTGGCTGCAATGAAGACAAAAAGATGAACACAAGTTAATTGGATGAACATTCAAGTTAAAAACAGCAACATAAACTGTGGGAATTTCCATATTTCTCATCGCACAAATGCCTCATGAAAATGTCACCCATTAAATGTCCGGAGATAGAAAGAAAAAGGGACACAGCGTCCAACAGTATGGAGGCTGATACTGGCACCAAATTCTCCACATGGCATGGGCCATCTGTCACTGGCAGACCCCATGCAGCTGTGAAGGCGGACAGCATTCCCATTACACCGCTTCCAACAACTCTGAATTATTCACTAATATCCAGTCACACTATGGGGGCCTTTTCAAAACCAGGGACCACATTTGGTGTTATTAAATGTGACTGCTGAGGCTATGTGGCAGACAGCAAACTGCATGCCATGTGACTGATTGAGCAGATAGATGGATGCTGATTAGGATTCTCAGAGTTCGCCTCACATGAAAGTTGTGCACTTAAATGTAAGTCATGCAATGTCCTGAGTAAAATGCCCAAAACTACAATCCAGTAACACAGCCGAAAACAGTAAAAAGTCTGCTATCTGACTTAAGATTGAACTCAGCAGCTCATAAAATAATTTCCAACCACTTCTAGGCAGATCCACAATCTCGACATGACACATGGACTTTTCATATTATTTAGCTTTGTAATATTGCTAATCTAGCTGGTCTATAGTTAAAAAAGATTTTGGACCTAGTCTGCCAGAGACAACATGCACCACTGTGACAGATGTCATAACTGTAATTGTGCTGCATCTTACTGACAAATGTCATCAGTCATCCGGGTCATTCCAAATAGACATGGTCAAAAACGTTTAACACATCATTCAGTTTTGTCATAGCATTGTAAGCTTAAGTGCTACAGTCCATGTGGCGTCTTCACCAGGCAACACACATGAATTATTAAAGAGCTTTATGTTGATGCTGCAGGGTTTCCAATACATCATCCCCCTAAACGAGGAGCGCTTAAATTTTTAATAAATCCCGTATGAGTCCACAGAGAGGCTGATAAGAGTGACAGGAACTAGCGCAGGGTGGCTAATTGGATTTTAACGTGTTGAAAAAAGATCCTGAAGGATGAATATATTTGTGCTATTTGAACTTTTTAGGAGGGCAGAGTGTGTTTACAGTATGTGTAATATATCCCTGATCAGAGCTCATTTGCATGTGTGTGCGCGAGTGAGACAGTGTTCATCAAGCTGATTTGATTTAAAAGAGCCCAAAATAAGATGAAATATAGGCTCAGCCCTTGCTGGAGGACTGATGAGGTTAGGATCACTGATAAATTGGTGCCTGGCAACAATTTGATACTTAGCATATTGCTGAAGATGCACCCATTCCACTATGTTCACACACAAAATCCTCACAAAGGGTGTACACTATAGAAATCATTGCATTATAAAGAAAGCAGAGATCAAGTTAATGACACTTTTCTGTACAAAGCCTTAGGGTAGTAAATCACATAAATTATAACTCTGCTTCCATGAGACATGAGACGCTACATTCAATGAAGTACTGACTGAAGTGCAGCCTTTCACAGCAGCTGATCTGACTTGGGGAAGTCTGGTTAATACCATGTGCTCGGTGTGCCTTCGGCTACAGGCAGCTGCCTCTTAAAGTGCGACGCTAACTAATTTAATTTGCACTCAGAAGTCAAAATCGCACCCGAGTGAATTCTGCTCCAGCTGAACACCTACACTGATGGTTAATTATTAACACAAACAGAAGCCCACAGATATACACACAGGGACGGTAAAGAAAGAGAGGGCACATGCACAGACAAACAGACACAAGGTCCTCGAGTTAAAATGAAAAAGCTGTTTGAACAAGAACGTGCTTCAGGGTCAAAACAGCAAAGAATCCCTTTTCTCCCCCATCTTCCTGCAGGTCAGCAAGTAGGATATTTTTAAGTTAGAGGATTTTCCACACAAATATGAGTCTAGTGGAATGTGCAGGAAATCCACGTTTAAGTAAGGAAACACTTGGCTTGCTTTTTAAGACCCCAGTGACACCCCCATCCTCCACATCCTCCTTGATGAAATCTCTCTGCCTTACTGTTTTACTCATCAGAAGGAACTTTGAATCTAGGACACCACCTTGACAGGGAAAATAGGCCGCACATTCAGGGAAGATGGTGGGCTGGTGTGTGTGTGTGTGTGTGTGGGAGGGGGGGGGGTGGTTTCCAAATTCTGCCTTCGGGGGAGACCAAGCACATTCAAGCTTCATTCAAGCTCTCGCTCTTCTCACTGCTTTCTAAAATCTGTCCCTTGTATCACCTCTCACCTTGTGGATCTTCACTCTCTCTTGCTCTGACAGCACTGGCAGAAAGAAATCCCCCTTTTCATGTGGTCTGTCAAAGGCTAGTTTAAAAGAGGGGCACTGGACGCTTCCCAGTCATGACTTCAGGACAAGTAAATCCCCACATGCAGACAACATCAAACATAAGGCTTTACTATCTTAATTTGTTACTCTTTTTAAGGATTCTCTTATATTCATGACATAGCGTTTGGATAAATCATCAAACCCCAGCACATGATTATTTGAGTAGCCAGGTTGTGTTCATTCCTATAAAGGAATACAACAAATGTCTTTGTCTTCAGTCTACAGGCACACAATCACAACATAATTAAAGTACTGCAGAAAGTGTAATTTCAATCTTCCTCTCCTCACTTTTTATCACCGAATACAGGAATAGAGATTGTAGAACATATCAACTAAACAATCAACCACATCCACCAAACTTTTTATAAATAAAAAAAAGTTCATATTACACTTTAATCTGGTTCCTATAGGATTTCTCCTTAAATCATAGAGGTTTCTATAAATAAGTAGTAGCACTTATGAGTTGTTGAGATGTCAATCACTTAATCAAGATTACTTCGCAGTCAGAAGGATACACTCCATGTAAACACTCAGTAAAAGACTGAATCTATTAGTGAAACAGCTGATGTTGCCAGGCAACCACTGGCTCTAATGCTGACAGCCCCACAGCGGAAGGAAGGTGGTACCTGCAAATTGCATCTCTGAACATTTTGGCAAGCCTTCAAGAGCTGTGTACAACAAACAAAAAGAGCTCAAGTACGATTCGATTTTCTGCAGAAGTTCAGCCGGAGCAGGGCACGGCAATCCCGCACACAAAAGGAACAAAAGCTTCCTTCTCTCTGCTTTTTAAATCCTAACACCCCAGCAGCAGTCTTTTTCACTATAGAAACACAACACTGACATAACAACAATGTTAAATCACATCAAATTCATTGAAGGCTGATGAAGTGAAGTTTCATTTAATAAAACAACTATAAGGCGATATTTCAACTGGTGTTTTAATCTAGAAGTTAGTACAAATTCATAATAAATCAATTGGGTTTAGGCAACAATTTTACATTAAAATTCCCCAAAAGTAATAATCAACAAAGAACAAAAAGAACAAAAAGATATACAATGGGCTCTCTTATATCAGGGGTCTCAGACCATCACAGAATGACTTAATGGAATAGAAAAGGAAATCAGGGCCAACATATGTTCAGGTTTATCATGGGTGTATTGAAAGACTTTTATATATTAGAGAATTTATGCAGATTTTATCATTCAAATTTGTCCTCAAGTCTGTCAGAAAAAATGCGGAAGCAAAAACATGGACATGAACAATGTATACAAACTCAGTTAGGTTTTCGTGAACTTAAAAAGCATGTTTGTTTTGTGCCAGTCACAAGGCTCCTATACTTTCATAAAGTTTTATTTACTTTTCGAGGAGCGCAGTAAAAGATTTGGAGCACAGTAACTAGATTGGAGTTTCCCTGGAGGTTCTCCACTGAGAGCGTGCAACTGCAACTCTTTCAGAATTCTGTTTATTTTTGAGCATGCTTTTCACTTCAAACAGCGAATTTTCTAGAATATGTAAAGTAACCGCTAAGAAAGGAATTAAATAAGACAGTAATATGAAGTCTGTCGAGGGAGTTATCTTTCTATGCTGCAGATCTGAAACATAGAAATGAAAGAAATTGTCATGGAGGAAGTTTTTGTTAACAATACCATCATATCTAAATCTATCAACAATTCATCTTTTGGCTAACTGTCCTCTGCTGCAGTTATTGTAAAAAACATGGTCCTCATCATTCTCATCATAATACCTTCAATTTATTAGAAGGTTTTCAGTTAAATTCTCATCATCTCTTGTTGAAACAGCAGGTTTGGTTCACAGGGGAGTGTGGAGAATAAAACTGGATTACATTCTAGGCTATTTTTTCACCATGTGTCATGTCTGAAATTAAAAGCCAGCACAGACGTGTTAAGTTTTGTTCCTGGATGATTTCCTGCTTTCTATTAATAGCTGCCACCCCAAATGTTGCTACCAATGTTTGCTCTGCAGTCAGTGACAGTTGGTGAGTGGATGGTATTG